TAGAAATGTCAACAAAGTGCACAGGAGGAAAGGAGAAAATGATTCTAGCACTTGAGAATAAGGAGGTCTGAGTGGAGGTGATGGTATTTCTGTGGGAATTTGAAAGACCGAAGGATTTTACCAGGTGAAGAAGTCAAGGCAAAACATTCCAGGAGAGGAAAATGTAATTAACAAAAAGACTGGATGCAGTTGGGATGCAGTGATGGGTATAGTTATGGGGTGCAGTGATGGGACCCACACTGAAGGGCATAAATGACAGTGGTGTGATGATGAGGTTGTAGGGATGGGGTGTGGGGATGGGAGCTACAGGGATGGGGGTGCAGTGATGGAGTGCAGTGATGGGGCTATAGGGATGGGGTACAGTGATGGGAGCACAGTATTGGGGTTTCAGTGATGTGGGCACACTGATGGGGTACAGTGAGGCATCCATCTGGAAAGGCAGGACAGAGCCAGATGGGAAAAGATCTGAACATCCTGTTGAAGTGTTTGAGTTGAACAGCAGCGTGAGGTGGGTTTGAAGAAAGGTCATGAGAAGAAGCTCTAGGGTGCCCAGCTCCAGGCCCCTAGAGTAAGAGGTGCATTGCCCAGTGACCCAAGTCCATCCCCAGAGCATCCTCCCTTTGTTCTGTCCACTTGCAGGCCAGTCTCCACCCTGAGGCCACTGGCAGCAGGGTAGATTAGATTATGTTCTAAGCCGAAGCCAAGAGGTCCTCTCTCATTCTGGTTTCTCCCTCAGGGTTTCAGCAGAGCAGTCTTGGAGAACAGAGAGAGCCCATTGCAGGTCTGTGTCTTGGGGGCCATCCAGGCCACTGGTCTGCTGGGAACAGCAAGGTCCAAGGAGGTGATGTCAGGTGGTTCCTCAGCTTCCTAGAAGATTAAATGATCTTTAATGGCCCAAGAACTGCAGAAGTCAGCCCATGCTCCCCAACCTTCCTGTTGCTCCTCATTCCTGCTCCTCTTCCCTAAGTGGCAACAGCTGCAGCTTGCAGGCGGGAAGTCTGGGCTCAAGTCCCAGCTGTGCTGGCTCCTCAGTCCTGTGATATCTGACGATTCATCCTACCTTGCAATTTCCTCCTCTGCAAAATGGGAATAATCGCATGACATAGGGTAATGGCTGCAAAAGGTTTAGCCCAGGCTGTGATACCTACAAGGCATTCGGTAAATGAAAGCTAATATCATTATTTCCTACCATGTCAGTTTCCCAGAGAGCAGGCTCTGTCCATTAGGGGATGCCTGAGATAAGCAGAGGTGGCACCTTGACTAAGAGCAAATACACAGTTAGGAAGTCACACCCTCCACAGTTCTCTTTCAATGTTGGGTTTGTAGAAAAGATAGACTAGCTTTGGCCATAGCGTGTTTCTTATGGGTATCTATAACACTTATTAATTTTTCCTTTTAACCAAGAGAGAACAATTCCCCCACCCCACTCCACCCCATGGTTCATGGTAGATATTTACATGGAGCTCTGTCTGGTAAACTCAGTCCTGGTCAATAATTTAAACAGTCTCTTTAAGTCACATAAGCTTTTTCAAATAAATGCATAGCCTCTCAGATTTGCTTCCCATCCTCTCCAGGATGGCATCTGGATGCATCAATTGGGGGAAGCTTTTATGACCATACCAGTAGAAGGGTAGAGAGAGCCTAGACCCACTTGCAGAGGTCCTGGCATTGTTGGGCTGTCCACAGCAACTTTTTGGGCTATCCACAGCACCGAGTTCCTGGGATGATGATGAATTCTGACATGGCGAGCTCACGGTCTATCCTGTTGTCATGGTCAAAGCCCATGGATCCTTCCTTGGGGACTCAGTGCCCCCACCTTGGCTCTGACCAGCCCTCAGCACTGTACTCTACCCAGGTCAGGTTGTGGTTCCACTTTGTCCTCAAGCCCAGGAAGCACCTCTGTGGGTCCCCTGACAACCTCCCTACCCAGGTCCCAACCATAGTCCCAGTTACTCCTGAGTTCCCTTCAAGGCCATGTTTGGGGCCCTTCCAAGGAATAGCTGATCAAGGATAAGCAGGAGCATAACCTGAGATGTGTCTTTGCCCAACCTCTTCTACTTGGTTGTGGCTGCCACAGGCTGGTTTAGGGATTTGGGGCATCCCTACGGCAGTCTCCTCCTGGAGAACCAAGGCTGCCTTCAGCTCCCCTGTGTAGCATACCTTCCACTTTGGGGCTTCAGTCTAAGAGGGAGATTCAGGTCACCTTGTATCACTCCCTGTTTTCCCTACCACTGTTCTCTTCTCCTTCCCAAGGTCCTTGGTGCAGGAGGGGCAGATGCTCCATTCTGTCCTATTTTGAGGTCCTCTACACCATACCCTACAGCTTTACTATAACGGTTGCTAGAGGTGGGGGGATGATTTCACAGAAAAGACATGCAAAATATACTGGTACATAAAAATTTTTTGATAATCGACAGTTTTTTTAAAGGTTGATTTAAAGAAAAATTTCAAGCAAACTGATAATCAAGTTAGGAGTGGGAATGGTACAAACTGTGAAGCTACCAGGTCCCTGGCTGAGTTTGGGGAAACACCAGGACCCATGGAAGAAGCTGTGATGGATACATAAATGGAAAAGGCCTTTTTGTTGAGGAGGAAGGCAATCATATTCACAGCTCATTAGGAAGCAAGAGGGACCAGAAAAGCAAAGTTCTAAGGAGTTCAGGAGAATCTAGGAAAGGTGGTTGGAAGAGGTAGCTGTTGAATTGGGCTTTAAAGGGTAAGAAGCTGAAGAAAGGCATCAGCATGTGTGGGGGAGGAGGGGTGTACAATAGGCACTTTAAACAGTGTTGAATGAGTTAATGATATAGAGAATCCATATAGTTTCTGATATAGAGCAGGGAGAATCTTTCTGTTGGCAACTAAGGAGGGCCAGAGTGGGGAGGTAGTGTAAGTCTCAAGGTTGTAGACAAACATGGATATTGCAGACCTTCATTGGCAGGGCCCATGGAGACACCATTTTGAGCTGGCAAAGCTGTGCCTTCAGAGCCACTTACTGGCCCTGCCAGCAACCTTCCTCCTCTTCTCGGAAACTTGTCTGCTTCTTCACCCTGCTCTGGGTTCTTCTGGCCCCATAGGCAGTTCTGGAAACCTCATTCATGCTTGGGTCTCTGGAATTTATAATCCTAAAATGTCTGCACAAATGTCACCAGAAGTTGGAAACACTGAGGCCCAGAGGAAAGAAAAGATTTGTTCAAGGACACCCTTGATTCTGAGGAAGAATCAAGATAGAACCTGGGTCTCTGTAAATGGTCTCAAGGCCATGGGCAAGAGCATTCAGCTGCTTAGGGCAACCATTGCCAGGAAGGGCCTGGGAAAAGCAGGAAAACAAGTTGCCTTTGTTTTGACCCCATTTTAAAGAGCCATGTGTGGGCGGGTCTCAACAAGCTGGGGTCAGATTTCAATCTAGCAAACACCACTGACCACCTACGCTATGGCCCAGACCCAAGCTAAGGGCTTTGATGTCTGAAAAGCTGTAAGTACTTGAACCTAGCAGCAACCAACATGTCTATACACATGTGTTGGGATTTCGGTATGCTCAGTGTTTAACTACACCAGCAAAGTCTGCAGGGCATGCTGGGAACATTTTAGAAATTCTCACCCCATCCCCCATTCATCTCCTGGGATTTGTGGTCACCTCAAAGGTGGGCAGTCTGAACATCTAGACATTTGACACAGGCAGTCCCTTTCTTCCTTACTCATGATCATACCTAGGGACTGCTGTCCATCACTGTTCACTGGATTTCAGGGGGCAATTCGAGCTGTTGTCAAGGTTCCATTTGAACCATAAGTGATTTTTGCTGAATTGAGAATCAAACCTTCAGAAAGGACTCTACCCAAGTCCTATTTCCATAATTCCTGGCGCTGTCAGTGGTGCATCAGAAATGGACCTGGATTGGGGAAGAAAGGTATTTATTGGAGTACTGCTAATCTCTAGAGATTTACAGAGCACCTGCCTTTAGCAGAATGCATCCAGCAGCCCCTTGCTCTGCCTTTGAGGAAGGCTTTCCCTGCCTGTCGTGTAGAGTTCTGTATCCAGCAGGCACATAATACCTGCTTGTGACAACCCCGCCTCCCTCAGGAGGTGACTCCTCTGGGAGACCTGTGCATTAGATTGATGCTTCCCAAACCCACCACTGATGTTGTTCAAGTCCTGCTCCCAGATCTCCAGGGGGGCCGAGCAGAAGGACACAATTTCAACAAGTACCCCACATAATCTGATTCCACCCACAAAACCCCAAGCACTTGGGAAGCCCCCTCCTGGACCCTTTACCCTGAGGGCAGTGTGGACCCTGCTGGAAGCAAGATGGTGATTTTTCTGGGTCCTGAGCCGGATCTTCAATGACCCCCCAGAATGCTAAGGACGGGCTTCAACAGAACCACCTGCGTATAGGAATTTCACCTCTTTGGGCTTGTCTCCTCGTATTTACGTGGGGGTGCTGGGTCTAGATCAGAACTGCAGACACAACTCAAGCCAGTAGAAATACTGCATTGGGCTCATATCATGATTTTTAAAAATTGAGGCCACATATAAAAATCAAGAGAGATCACTGACTTCTGGTTTGGTGTACCTACATTGTCATAAGCCAAATGTTCGCTGGAGTTGAGAAGTCATTGCCCCTTTAAGAGAGGGCATGTGCTGTGTCCCACAGTCCCCACCACATCCTATTGGGCTCTCTTGGCCAGCTTCCATTCACTGCTTGTTTGCTGCCTTCCTGGCCCCTGCAGGGGCTGGAGTTAAGGTCTTTGACTTCCCTGATCCCCAGCGTCCCTTGTATTTGTCCCATTCCGCACGCCCAGGGCCTGCCACATTATCCTTCCCCAGCTTACAAGTTAATCATCAGCTTCTCCTTATGTAAATCAGAACAGGAAAGTCTTGCTTGGCCAATTCCTCCGAAAATCTTGGTCCGCTGCCTCTCTTCACCAGCCTGGTGTCCTGTGTCTGCCTGCTCAGCATTTGTCTGCAGACAGGAAGCCCTTTCTTGTCCCTGACGGAAGCTCTCTGAGGCCAGCTGCGGCCGTGGAGGTGCAAGGAGTCCAGGCAGGCCAGCCGGATGAGCGGGGAGTGGGGGCACCGGGGCCAGACCCTGATCTGGGCTGTTTGGGTCCTTGCAGCTGCCACCGAGGGTGAGACACCCTGTGGGAGAGGAGAGCCCTCAGAAGTTGGGGTAGGGAGATTTCCTCACCATAGAGGATTTTCCACTAGTGCAAACAAACCCATCTCTCGGAGGTCCGAAGGCTCATAAAAGGCTATGTAGTAACCTCGGGGCACCTGGCCAATGTCCTGGTGTTACTGAAAGCCACCACCAGCCCACCCCCCCACCCCCGCCAGAGTCTCCTTTGTGGGAGTGGGTAGAGCGCAGAAGACCCCGGTCCTGTCCGTGGGTTGCTCACACCTTGTCAGAGCCTGGAGAGCCCTCTGTCGGAGGCACCGGGGAGGGGCTAGGATGGAGCCCGAGCTTTGCACTGCGGCCCGCCTGGACAGGACGTTCTGTATTAGAATGACATTAGAGCGGGTAGCTCCAGGACACCTGAGTCCTGCTCAGTAAGTAGCTGGCAGTGAACTTCTCAGCACTCCATATTCTATGTGGAGACCGAGAAGCTTGCACTCTCGGGTCCCCAAAATGTCATCCTCATATCCCCGGAGGCGGATGAGCTGATGTCAGGTGACAACATCATGCGAACTTTTTACTTTCGTTGATGTATATTCATTTTCATGTGTATTCAGAAACATAGGCCTAACTCAGCCAAAGCCCAAGTCCATAGCTGTTACTGCTTGGGAGTCCTCTGGGTAAGATTTTTAAGTTTATTTAAATTTAATTTTAAGAAAAACCAAAAAGCTAGTAGTCATATAGGGGATGCGCAGACAGGCCAGCAAGTGTGCTGATGGGTATGAAGACGACTCTGGGCCAGATGACTTTGTGGGATGCTAGGGTCTGCAGAGCCTGGCATCCATCAGTTCCAGAATAAGGGAAATTTGCTCGGTGGAAGGGAGAGCTTCCTTGTTCCCCAGGGTGACCCGGGCAAATTTTGGGGCTCGGTGTTGTGCTCCTAGGAGAAACTAAGTCGGTGCTCTGATGCAGGTGCTTTCTAAGCAATCTTGAAAGAAGCCCTGGACAGGGGTTCATTGACAGGGAGTCTAGCTACTTCCTGTTGCCCAGCCTCTGGGCTGAGAAGGAGTGCCCCCAGTGAGGGGAGCTCCTAGTTGGGCTCATTCCGATTCTCTATCCAGCCACTCCTGATTCCTCCCTGTGTGTTCCCTCAGGGCCAGCCGCGGATGCACCGATGAGGAGCACCAGGCTGGGATGGGTCCGGGGGAAGCAAGCCATTGTGCTGGGAAGCACCATGCCTGTGAACATGTTCCTCGGGATCCCCTACGCTGCGCCCCCTCTAGGACCCCTGCGATTTAAGAAACCAAAGCCTGCCTTGCCCTGGAATGAGCTCCGAGATGCCACGTCCTACCCTAAATTGTAAGAGCAGGCTCAATCCTGTGGTGGAATGTGACCTGGGCATGGGGGCAGAGTACTGAAGGGGAATAAAGGTCATGCAGCTCCCTGGGAAAGGTGGGGGCACCAAGGAGGAGGAGGAGGGGTGCGGAAGTGGACAAGGGCTCCAGTAATCCCATGGCCCCCCAGCTGGCTAATCAGCAGGATCACTGGTGGTGGTGTTCAGAGCACGCAGATTCCTTGGGCTCCCTTCTTGGGACTTCCTGAGTCAGAATCTCCAGAGCTGGGCCCAGGAAACTGGTTTCACTGGAAGGTGTCTAGTGATTTGAGGACCAATCGGCTTTGGAAACCACTGTGACGGACTTACTGAGTCTTGGTCCAGGTGTTTCCATGTCACCCCCCACCTAGGCTTAGTCTCCAGGGTCCAGACTGGCTTTGGGGTGAAGAACCACCCAAAAGGGATTTCAGCTCTAGTGCTCTGTGCCTAATGCAGGGAAATCCACAAACACCTGTAGAATAAATGCGTGTGTCCTGGGTCAGGAGCCCCCCGTCATTGCAAATGTTCAAGCTGAGGTTGGTGAATCGTGATGAGGACTTAAGCATAGGTTGGGAGGTGAGACTTGAAAATCCCCCAGAATCTTCTGATGCTCAGATTCTGGGAAGTCCTCAGGTTGGGCCACACTGGTTCTTGGTTCTTGGCCTTGGGGTCCCAGGCAGAAGGAGTACCCTGGTGCCAGGAAGCTGTCTAAGCCACAGAAGAACCCATGTGGCCCAGGGACTGAGGACACTAAGCTGAAACTCATCTGTTCCTTCCTTCATGTATTCATTCAACTAATATCCATTGAGAACCAACTCAGTAATTGCCTCTCTGTAAGGCCCTGGGGGCACACAGTGGGCTGGTCACAGTTGCCCTGAAGGAACTTGTAGGCTGGTGGGGGTGGTAGGGGCATAAATAATAACACCGATTAAAATATAGAGTGACAAGGGCAACCTTTTAGGGGATCAGAGAAGGATGCTGAGAAGGAACCACCTAGTCTAACCTTGGAGGGAGGTCAGGGATGGCTTTGCTGAAACCAGTGAGGCCTTGATTTCTCATAAACAATATACAAAGGGGCAAAAATGCATAAGCACTTGTCTGAGTGGAAGAGGCATATGGGGGTAAATTTGCAGTGATGGTTTCCTACCGCCTAAGCTGTACACTCTTCTATTAAAAAAAATTAACACTAATTGAGCCCTGAGAATATTAGGAATCACATATATTGGCCTCACTCAATCCTACTGTGTCACATGCTCAGTCCTAGGGACTGTGAGGTACCGAGGTGACTAAAACAGTTTTTAGCTGCTCACATTTGAGTGGAGGAAGATGGTAACACTCATGTGCAAGTCTAGGAGAACTTCAAGGGAAGAACACAACATATATAGGTGTTTCTAAAAAGCTGTGGTCTAACTGGAGAAATCTCAGAAGGCTTCTTGGAGGAGGTGGCACTTGTACCGAATCTGAAAGACAGGGAAGAACATGAGCAAACAGCTATGAGCAGAGAGCAGTCTGGGCATAGGGACCAGCTTGAGCAAAGGCTCGGATACAGGAATCTCCCTGCACATCTACCTCCATTGGTTCCTGGTGGAAAGGCCTAGAAATGTCCTTTTGTTCCTCTGGGGGCAGAAAAGGGAGCTGCTAGAGCAAAGCCCTTGCTATGTAACCTAGTGTCTTGCCCTCTAGGTTGGGGAATTGTTGAGCCATGTTGAATCTTTATGTGTGTGTATCTGAATTGTGGTAGTGGCTGTAGGCATGGGTGAGTGCTAGAAGTTAATGATACAATTACTCTGCACGACGTGGTTTCCTACCCAAAAACCAGATCAAAAAGAATTATAGTGTGTTTCTTTGTCTGTGCCACCATGGCGGGGGCCGGGGAGCTGATCAGACTTTGTACCAGTAGCTCCCATATGCCTCTTCCGCTCAGACACGGGAGACCACCAGGCCTCTCTGTGGTCACAAGGCCTGTCCCCTCCCAGGCGAGTTAGCCGACAGCAACTCTGAGGATTTCTCCTTCCTTCCTCCAAGGTGCCTCCAGAACTCAGAGTGGCTGCTCTCAGATCAACACTTTCTCAAGGTGCATTACCCCAAATTGGAAGTGTCCGAAGACTGCCTGTACCTTAACATCTATGTGCCCGCCCATGCGGACACCGGCTCCAAGCTCCCCGTAAGGCTGCCTGTCATGCCGGGGCTCCAGCTAGCGGGTTCTTGCCCAGGGACCCAGGCACAGTGGCTAGAATCAATCCTACCCCCTGTTGGGTAAAAGGGAAATGTAATCACTTGACGCATCAATAACTCTTAAAAAGTCATTTAATGACAGATTCACTTTATCTTCCTTTCTGATTGCTTCTTTGTTGGCAGTGACTTGACTTGACCTTTGATTTTTATTTTGTTTTGTTTTTCCCCTCTGTTGAGTATTTAATGGTCTGTAAACATTTAGAAAGACACTGCTTAAAAGGACCCTGATTTTCTGTTTGCTTGTTTGTTCGGGAAATCCTTTTTTAAAAAGGATCATTTCATCCTCCAATTTTTCTGTTTGCAGTGAGGACAGGTAATAATATTAAGTATTTCATTTAAGAATGTAAAATATCTCTGTATAAGTGAACAGGAAAGGTATTAATTTTTAACCACACCCTCCTGTATCCTGTCTCCCCTTCGCCAGTGCAATGGGAGACTCAATCTGTTGGATCCTAACAATATGTATTGAGCACTGACTATGTGCCAGCCACAGTATATTATCTCATTTAACCCCCACAGTAACCAGTGGGTAAGGATTATTGGACCCATTGTACAGATTAAGAAGATGAGGCACGGGGATGGCATAAGTGACTTGTTCCACGTCGTACACACAGTAAGTGGCAGGTCCGATGCCAAAGCCAGGGCTTTCTTTTTCCTCAGTGGCTTTATTCTCTTTTCCCACCCCAAGAGTTGTAGTCCCTAGTATGACTTTAAAAAAGAGAAGGGCGGGGCACCTGGGTGGCGTCATTGGTGAAGCCTCGGACTCTTGGTTTCTCATCAGGTCGTGATCTCAGGGTCGTGAGATCAGGCCCCATGCTCAGTGTGCAGTCTCCTTAAGATTCTCTCTCCCTCTGCCCCTCCCCACCTGCACGCTCTCTCTCACTAAAATAAATGAACAAATCTTTTTTAAAAAGAGAGAATGGAAAGGATTTATTAATAAGTATATCAATCCTGATGGTACCATGTGAATGTTTAATGTTCCCCAGTCCCAATTTTTCTAATCAATATAGTAAAGTTTTCGCACTTCTCTTCCCTGTCATCTCTCCTCGCTTCTCTTCTCTCTGTAGGTAGGGGAAGGGGTGAAGTTAAAACAACTTAAGTGGTTTTTGCTCTCCTACATGGCTTACAGTGATTTCCTTCTTCCTATGGATCACAAGTTCAGAGATATTTAGTTAATACTTTCTGAGCACTTGAAATTGTTCTAAGAACTTTAGATGCAGGATCTTGTTTAAAATCTCATGATAACCCATCAGTGAGATACTTTCATTCTTCACATCTTACAGATGAGAAAAATGAGCCTCAGAGAGGTTAAGTAATCTGCCCAATGTCACCCAGCTCATCTGTGGCAGAGCTGGGAATCAAACCCAGGAGTACCCAGATGCCAGAGCCCACAAGCTTACCCCTGGGCCTTCTTCAAAAGACAAAACCTCTGATGCTACTTAGAAAGGAAAGTGAGATGCTTATATTTCCCTAAAGAAAGAAGGTCCCAGCATGCATGGGGAGGGGATGTGAGTTTCTGGCAGGTTGCCTAGAAAGGTCTTCTCCCTTCCACAGGTCATGGTGTGGCTCCCTGGGGGTGCCTTCGAGACTGGCTCAGCCTCCATCTTCGACGGGTCCGCCCTGGCTGCCTATGAGGATGTGCTGATTGTGACCACCCAGTACCGGCTAGGAATATTTGGTTTCTTCAAGTGAGTGTCCCCACGTGACTGACACCCCGGATCCCCAAGGCACAGCTGTGGGCAGCCATAGGGGATTCAGTGCCCAGCCGCCTAAGGAGGAATGAGCCTTCAGTGACATTGAACAAATGTGACCCAAAGTAGTTAGGTAATTTTTGCAGCAGGAAGAGATTAACCCCCAAGTCTTGGTGGATTAAAACAACAAAAAAAATCTTTCTCACTCAAGTAAGGTCCAGCTGAGTGATCATGACTGACAGACATCTTTCCATGTGGTCCATCAGGGACCAGGGTCCTTCTATCTCATGGCTCTGCCCTCCTTAAGGGCCCAGACCCTCTGCATTTGACCAGCAGATGGACAAACAGAGCCTCCACCTCGAACTCCTTGAGCTTCAGGAAGCAGATTGACATCCACTGAGCATTCTCACCCTGCCTCTTGCCCCAGCACAGGGGACCAGCATGCTCGGGGGAACTGGGCCTTCCTGGACCAGATGGCCGCCTTAACCTGGGTCCAGGAGAACATCGAGTTCTTCGGTGGGGACCCACGCTCTGTGACCCTCTTTGGCGAGTCAGCGGGAGCCATAAGTGTTTCCAGCCTTGTGAGTTCTTCTCTTTGGGGGGCTTGAACGAACCTCGGTGGGAGAGGTCACAAAAATGAGGACCGTGAATCACTCGTGGCTGATTGGTACTTCATGTCGAACAGACACCTTGTCTCCCTCAAGCCTCCCATCGTGAGTTAGCGGCTCAGTCTCCTTTCGTGGACAAGAGCTGTCATCAGGAAGAGTTTAAATGAACTGCCCAAGATCACCTAGTGAGTAACAGTTTGAAGAAAAATCCCTTATATTTATAGGGTCGAAGCCCTGGACAGGTAATTACTCGTTTAATAGAAAAGCTCAGTTAAAACATAAAGTAACAAAGGACGCACATAACATTTTATTTCAACTTCCAACATAAAGTGTGCATTTCTCCACCAATGGTTTGATACGGTGCCATATCTTTTCAGGGTCAGTCTGTTGGCCAGAGATCCACCGTGGGCTCTGGGCATAACCCCCTCCCCCCAGATTCATTGTCCTCTAACAGCTGCTTTAGCTTCTTTACAGCGAGCACGAACTTGAGGTGCCTGCCTTGTAGTCTGTGAATACAGCGTGCTCATGGAAGCTTCTGCTGCCTCCCCACATATCTTATACTCTTACCTTGTTCACACCAAATTAATCTGACGGCGGTATTTTTCAGCTACTTGCCTTCATCAAAGGTTTCTTTCCCCAAACATAATTTTGTTTTCTTTTTACATGCATACTTCATTGGTTCCCACGATATTTCATCGATTAGGTCATTACAATAGCAAGTGTAAATGACAAAGCAAGTTTGGGAGCAAATGCACCTTACTCGTGGCCAGAAACCGGTGGGAATAGAAAGGTGTGTGGCACTAAAAAACAGCCCTCTGGCTCTGAGGGGTCGGCATCTCCTGGGCCTCAGCTAACAGGTTAATCACAGAAGGCAGTTACATGGAAGTGGGTTAAGAGAGCTTCTGCTGTATAGCACTTGACAATATACAAGATATTTTTCTGTCTTCAAGATAACTCGATAAGGTGAATTAGAGTAAATCAACTTTTACATATATGATGACAGCCGCCATTTCCGGAGTGTGTAGTATTTGACCAGGCATCGTGCAAAGCCTTCTGCATTCGTTACTTCTGCCCTACAGAACAGTTCTGTGATATGGGCTCCATTTTTCCTTCTGGTTTTGCAGGGAATAGATTGATGCTCAGAAATATATAAAAAACTTGCCTGAGGTTCTCCAGCCAGGAAGTGAAGGAGCTAGCACTCACACACTAGAATGTTTGACCTCAAAGTTCCTGGGAGTTTGGGGCTCAGAGAGGTTAAATAACTTGCCTAAACTTTCATGGCTCGTCCTTGAATCCCCAAACCAGGGCTTTTTTTTTTTTTTCTCCTGTATGTGTAGAGCTTTTAAGGAGACTTCCTGGGAAGGTTTCTTTAAAGAAGGATGGGTGGTGTGTGTAGTGGATGGGGAGTCCCCTGCCTGACTTCTCCTGGTCTCCTGTGTTCTCATTCCAGATTCTATCCCCCATGGCGAATGGCTTATTCCACAAAGCCATCATGGAGAGTGGGGTAGCCATCATCCCTTTCCTGAGGGCCCCCGATGATGAGAGGAATGAAGATGTAGGTATATTGTTAATACCTCTCTAGCTTCCTCTGCTTGGTCAGGGGAGAACGTGGTTAGGTGTTGATAGACCATGTGCTTGGCCGTCCTTACCGACCATGGCCAAAGAATCCGATGCTGGCCAAGGCGAACCTTACTGCTTCATGGAAGGCCTGGTTCAGGAAGTAGTTCTCCAGCGCCGTCCAGCTGGTGCACATGAATGTGTGTGCGTGCGTGTGTACATGAATGTATATGTGATAGTTCTTACATCTTATTCACTCTTCTTCACCTGGGATATATAACTCAGTCCCCTGTGTGATATATACTTCATTTCCTGTACCTACTCCATTCCACCTAGAGTACTATGTTAAGAAAGATTCTGAAGCTGTTTCCAGTTCAGTGGGAAAGAACACTGTGACTGATGCATGTTGTCTGGCATGAGATTGTAAGGGGACGGTGAGGCATATGCCCCAGACTTTTGTCATCTGTCATCTTGTTTAGTGCTCTACCAAGCAGTGAGGACCTGGAGACCAAGGTCTCTGTCTCTTTCACGTCCCAGCATAATGCCTAGGTTCTAGTAGGTGACTATTGATGTTTGCCGAATGAATGAGTTAACAAATGAGCTGATTCAGTCAATGAATATTAGCACAGGGCTGTGGAGCCATCTCCTGGGGACTGTGCATTTTAGTGGTATATTTGCTTAAACACCTTGTAGAAAATAACGGTGTACACCAAGAGCAGAGACCTAGAGATATGATATTGTAAACATACCCTCAATACACAGGGAATATTGATTTGGAGAACACGATATATCAGCTTTCGGTTTGTGCACATACTTATTCATTCAGCACACATATATTGAGTGTCCCTTGTCCCCCCAGCTCTGTGTTAGAACTTGTAGGCTTATAAATGGAGACAGGCCACACTGACTTGAGAAGACCATCATCTTTAACCTGGAGTCCAGGAAAAGTCTGGGAGGTGGTCCTTGAGCTCCTACAGTTGTAGGCAGATTCTGTATGTTTGTGCATTTTCCCAGGGAGAGGGTTTGTAGTTTTCATTGGATTTTCAGAGCCTTCGTGACTCCCAAGCACTTAGGGACCACCACTTTCAAGGGAAAAGTGCTCAAGGAAAGTTCAATGACTGGGAGAGATAGTGTTTAGGAAAAGGTTAGGAAGAGCAGGTGGGAATCCGTGACATGACAGGAAATTAGAGAAGGAGGGAGTTCATGAAAGGACATCTCAGAGGAGGTGGGGATGAGTGAATTGGTGGGAGACAGAAAAAGATGTTCAGGGTTTTCCAGGCTGCAGTGGGGGTGAGGCTGAGCAGAGCTGACAAGCTGAGACTGAGCCAGAGTCATGCCTCAGCATACAGTTAAGTCATGCTTGCAAAGCTGCTCCTCACTCTTGGGGCTCCTGAGTTGGGCTTCTGGGCTCAGTGGGGCCTAGTGCCATGGAGTCAATGTCATAGGACTGGTGTCTCCGTGACCAGGAAGCTTGACTCTATTCGGTAGCCACAGACTGACACACCACCTCCCCCAGCTCCAGCTGTTGCTGAATATGGCCAGGAGGGTCAGGCAGGAGCGTGAAGAGGTCCAGGGCCAGCCTGTCCTCAATGGGTACATTCCATTACATGTACATGGGGGTGGGGAGGGGCAGCAGGCTTCATATATGAGGAACCAGCCTGGGGCTGGATCAAGGACTCTTTTCAACTTTCATTTTCTTGGCGGCCTTCATTGCTGTGCTCTGACCCAGTCCTCTGGAAATAGTTGCAGGTGATCGCGCATGTCTGTGGTTGCAACGCATCAGACTCCGAGGCCTTGCTGCAGTGCCTGAGGGCTAAATCCCCCGAGGAGTTGTTGGACATCAACAAGGTGAAGACGGACGGGAGGGTCTGGGGGCCGAGAGACTCCACCACTCTCTTACTTACTTTGATTTGGGACTTTGGAAAGATGGAGGTTGGGATTCAGAGTAATGGCCATAGAAACACAAGGTAGAATATGTAGAATATGTAGAACCCTGGTAGGTAATTTAAGGAACTTGATGGGTTGGGGTGCTGCTTAGCCTGGAGAACATCCAGGAAAATATGAAGGTTGTCTCTAAGTCACCGGGAAGAGGGACTGCACCTGTTCCACATGCTGCCAGAAGTTAATTCAATGCCAAGAGCAGGAGTTCTGTTAGGAAGCCATTTTGGCTTGGTATAACCAAGAATTTTCTAAAAACACGGTTGTCTTCAAAACAACCAGCTCCTAGATAAGGTAGTGTGACACCCACCTCTATAGGTATGCAAGCAGAATCTCGATGACTGCTGACAGATTTTAGTCACTGGATGATTCATTGGACCAAATGAGCTGTTATGTCCCTTCCAATCTTGAGAGCTTCTGATGGTCCTTGGAAGAGCGAGGTCATTATCTGTCACATTCCAACATTTGTTAAGTAGCTATTTGGCGTGGATGAAGTGTCTGCTGTGAGCAGTGCTGGAATCTGGGAGCTGGTTACAAAGTCCTTGACCTGATGTAGTGTGAAAGGTCTTCTATGTACTCCCTTCCACCCCTATTCCCAAACAGAGACCCCAGAAAACCATGGATAGAGCCAGGTGTTGCTTCCTGAGACCCAAGAACTATCCAGCCAAGTCGAAGGCAAAGATACACCAACCCCCACTACTCTGACCACCTCCAGCCCCCCACACCATGCCTGCCCCTAGCTCACCACTCTGCCCATTGCATTTGGCCAGTGGTTCTCAAACTTGAGCGTGCATCAGAATCACCTGGAGGGCTTGTGAAACGAGTTGGCCGGGCTGTACCCCCAGAGTTTCATATCTAGTAGGCTTGGGCGGGGGCCTAAGAATTTGTTTCTAACAAGTTCCCAGGTGATATGCTGATGCTGCTGGTCCAGGACCCATACCTTGAGAACCACTGTTGTAGGCTCCTGTCTTTTTTAGGTAGATACTAATTATTATCCTCATTCAGCAGATGAGGACTCTAGGCAGGAAGCTGAGCCCCTTTGCCCAAGTAAGTGGCAGGGCTGGGCAGGCAGCACTCGTGCCTTGGGAAGGGCCAAAGGTGGCTTATTTTTCCTTTCTTAATGCAGTTTGACCACTGCTGGAGTGGGTTGGCTCTGCTGGGCTAAGGGTTTGGGGGACAGCGGATTTTAGGAAAAGAAACAGATGCTGATTTTTCTTTTCTTCCTTATTCCAGAAAACCAAGTCTTTCACTCGAGTGGTTGATGGTTTTTTCTTTCCTGATGAGCCTCTAGACCTATTGACTGAAAAAACATTTAATTCCGTTCCTTCTGTCATCGGAGTCAATAACCACGAGTGTGGCTTCCTGCTGCCCCTGGTAAGAATCCCAGCTGTCCTCCCTGTCGCTCCCTCAGCCGCGAGGCAGCTGTGTGCTTCCAAGCTGAGCACTCCCATGCAGGACGCCAAGTGCTGTGAGGGAGCCCGGCAGCCAAGGACGCAGAGACGCCCCTTCCTCTCGCTCAAAGAGGGTAACTGAGGATTGGGGGCAGCCGTAGCCAGTGTCTGCCCTGCTCCTCATATAAGGCTTATAGAGAAAGAAACAACTCTATAAACAGTAAGGGAGGATGGGATCCATTTGAGCTTTGATCAAAACATTACAAAGGATTGTTTCAAATTAGCACAGTTACTATACTTCAAAGGTGAAATTCATGCAGGTTTGGAAAATTTCAGGCCTTTACATTTTCACGTCCAGCCTCAGTTCTGGCATTTTGACTTCCAAGAGAGCTCCCGAGGTTCGTCCAACTTGCAAAATTATTGAATCGCTTTAGTCATTCAACAAGTATGAATGGAACGTTTGCTACCTGCTCTACACTCTTGGCAAAACCCAAGCGTTCAGGGGTGCCTGGGTGGCTCAGTCGTCAAGCGTCTGCCTTCAGCTCAGGTCATGATCCCAGGGTCGTGGGATCGAGCCCTGCATCGGGCTCCCTGCTCCGTGGGAGGCCAACTTCTCCCTCTCCCACTCCCCCTGCTTGTGTTCCCTCTCTCGCTGTCTCTCTCTGTGTCAAATAAATAAGTAAAATCTTTAAAAAACCCCAAAAAACCCAAGCATTCAACACTAAACAAGTCACATGGCTCCAGCTTTCAGCAAGCTCCCATCTGAGTGAGGAGAGCAGATGAAATGCAAGGTTGAATAGATGGTTTCAGGAAGGGGCAAGTGCTATGAAGTACGTAAACTGGTAGAAGATCTTTAGGGAGGAGAAGGGGTAGAGAGGAAAGGCTTCTCTGAGGAGGGATCGTTTGTGCTCGGGCTGAATGCTGAGAAGGAGCCATGATTCCTTGACCCTGCCATTTAAGAAGCCCCTCCTGATTCGAAATAAACTTTTCATCTGTCCTCAGAAAGGAGGAATGCTCAAATTCATAATATCACCATGGCTCAGTTAGACCAACCTCCTCCTTTCAAGCTGAGAGAGATGCGGTCATGAAAGACAGAGGTCTGCCACGGTTAGACGCTAGTTGGTCCCGTTTAGAGCCAGAACCCTGAGTCCCTTGGGCTGTCAAAGGCACGTTCTGCCATGATGAATTTGACCTACAGAGCAATGTTTTGGGGTAAGTGAGGGTGGGGATCTTTCTCTTCATGTTGTAAATGAGGCAACTGAGTCACAGATTATGGCGTAAGGAAGGCCCTTCAGTACTTTCAGGTCTGTGCCAGAAAGAAGAAGGCAGGTGCTCCTGATGACAGCCACCACCACCGTAACCACTGCAACCGGTCCCAACTGCCTTCCGCGTGCCAAGTGTATGCCATCGGTGCGACAGCTTGCAAACAGGCATTGGGAGTTAGAGAAACTTAGCCTCAGAAAAGCTAAAATTCCTTTCCAAAGTCTCCCAGCTGGGGAGGAGACAGTGGTGTATAATTTTTTTCATGCGCTTAGGCTCTGCCATTAAATGTTGGGTTCTCTGTTAACCTGCTGTGTGACCTTAAGTGAACTGCCCAACCTCTCTGAACCTTTATTCCCTTAATGTGTGAAATAGGACTGGTCTTACTACCTGCTTCACAAGTACCCATCAAATAGCCTGGCATATAGCAAGTGCTCAGTAAATGTTAGATATTGGAATTATTCAAGTGGTGCCATGATATTTGGTGCCCAGGTCTGCATAGGTCAGGAGGCTGGGGCGGTGCTCTTATTTCGTGTGACCTTGCAATTACATCCACTGCTGGCCATTGGAGACTGTGGGTAATCCTCCAAAAACAAATCTCAGCTCCTGAACATATAGAGAGGTTCTCAGTAGTTGAAATATACTTGTGGATAAATTGAATGACCCTGGAGATTCCCTCAGATGCCAGGAGACGAAGTTGTTTAAATATTTACCCTGGTGATTTATTATCCTAAGATTTTCAGCAGAAAATGTCAAAGAGAAATTCATTTGACAGCTGAAGAGTACTTTTACCCTCTCATATTTTTAAGCTGTGGTACTGGCCAGGGAGGCGTCAGTTAGCAAATAATTACCCATAGGCTCATACAGAGCCTAGGTTCTTAACCCCCAGCCTGGCCACCTCACTGGCTGTGGGCAAACTGCTGGCTTCTCAGAGGCCCTGATTGCAAAGGTCTTGAGAAAGAGAACCGTAAGTCACTGGCTTTGAGATTTTCTGGTCTCTGTTTGGACTTGATGCCAAAGCCAAGGTGTAGGCTGTTATCAGTTTGCCAAGGCCGCCGTAATAAAATACCACAGACCAGATGGTTTAAACAACAGAAATTTATTTTCTCACAGTTCTGGAGGCTGGAAGTCCAAGATCAAGGTGTCAGCAGGTCCAGTTTCTTCTGGGGCCTCCCTCCTTGGCTTGCCTTCTTCCTGTGTCCCCACATGGTCTTTCCTCTGTGTGCACGCATCCCCGGTGCCTCTCTTGTGTGTCAGAATTTCCTCCTCATATAAGGCCACCGGCCAGATTGGATGAGGGCCCAGCTAACGTCCTCTTTCTCATTTAATCACTTCTTGAAAAACCCTCTCTCCACATGGTCACATTCTGAGGTAGCGGGGGCTAGGGCTTTAACATGGGAATGTGGGGGCAGTGTCAGCTCCTAACATGGCCTTTCCACAGAGCAGCCACTCGGGCGCCACAAGACCACAGGTATGGCAGGGACCGGCGGCATTTTAGCAAACGTGGGAAGAAGAAACTTCATTGCTCCACCAACCCACTGAGGCTGCTCCTGCATGTCGCCCCTGGGGGTTGAACAGGTTCCTGCTCTCCAGCCTCTTTTCTTAAAAAGCAGGCACTCTGACCCTCAGAGAGACCGCTTTCCCTTCTGGTGACCTGAGGTGCTTCTCTCCACAGAAAGAGTTTCCTGAGATCCTCGGGGGCTCCAACAAGTCTCTCGCCCTGCACTTGCTACACACAGTCCTGGTAAGTGAGCTTGGGCAACTGATTTTTCAGTCAGCTGAACCCTCCTTGGGCCACTCTCAGGAGAAGGGACGGGGGCTATAGACGTTCCTCATTTGCTCATTCAGTGAATCTTTGCTAAGTATGGTTCCACCATCCCTTATGCAGCCTCAAAATCCAAGGAGCTCTGAAAACCAGCCCACAGGGCAGCCACACTTGCCCCAGCCGATATGTGGCCACTGGTCCTTATTGTTCCCATTCACGTCATTCATCCCACTATTCACGTGCTTCTCTGCGGACATGGTAATGTAGGGGCTGAAGGGACCACCCCCCAGAGCATGTGACATCATATGCAGCCTCGGTACTGAATCCGCAGACCGTGGGGTGGGTGGAAGGAGGAGGCACTTTGGCACAGTGTCTAACAAACCAGATCAGAGGAATGTCCAGAGGTACCAGAGGTACCAGAGCCACGTGGCTCCCTCAGGGAGAAGGGCCTTGAGGAATGAGTTAGGTTTGTCCGGCTCGTGGAGGAACAGGGGCCAGGGGCTCTGCTGGTCATATAGTCCAATCAGGGGCACTTGCACCAGAGCCTGGAGTTGCTCTGGGCCTGATTAAAAACACGCAGCCTTCAGAGGACCCGCTGAATGAGTCTGAGCAGTACTCCCTGGTGTGCTCTGTACTGTCTCCAAATTCCAAAGAAACTTCTGCAGGGCTGTACCTGTTTTCATGTGGCAAGTGGGAGGATTGATGGCCCAGGTGCCATAACTTGTCCCAGCATTTCCCAGGCTCCCAGATCCCCAAGAACATCACCAGTGTGGCAGATCCTGAATCTTCATGAAGTTTACTTTGCACTGGCCAGCATTTGTGCTTGGGGCAAGTTGAGGGATGGAAGCCTGGGAGGCAGCCCCATCCCAGGTCAGAAAAGCACAAAATGCCCTGTTCAGGGATTTGGCAACGGGTCTCAGGGGAGACTGACAGAACTGAAGACGGGCTCTGTGCCAGATAGCACGTTTCTCATGTAATCCTCTGAACAACTCATTTTTTATAGATAAGGGAACTCCAACAAGAGACTTGTTCAAATCAAACAGCAAAGGACTGGAGGCAGCACTGCTTCCAGAAGCAGGGTCCCAGTAGCAGTACAAAGGTCTACACTCAGAAGAGTCCTACATTTGGTTGACAGGGATGGCTGTTTCTGACATCTCAGAGAGGCGTGCGCACTGTGATTAGGAGCGCACAGTCTGGCTGCAGATAGACTTGCAGAAGAATCATTGTTGCACCGGTTTGGACAACCACTTACCCTCCCTGGGCCTCAGTTCCCTCATCTGTGAAATGGGGCTAATTTTGATATTTGCCCCATAGGGTCACTGTGTGGATTAGATGAGACAATGCACGTAAAGACCCCAGAATCATGCCCGCCCAAGCAAATGCTCAATGTGTTGGCTGTTGTTGACCTGGGTCTCCTGTGACCATGATTTTTTTACAGCACATCCCCAACCAGTATTTATACCTTGTGGCTGATCAATACTTCTCCAACAAGCACTCCCCAGTTGAGATACGAGATAGTTTTCTGGACTTGCTTGGAGATGTGTTCTTTGTGGTCCCTGGGTTGGTCACAGCTCGATATCACAGAGGTGAGTCTCTGAGTACCCCCACCCCCACCCCACAGCAGGGTCACAGCCCAGCAAGGCCAGTGACTGCAGAGAGTCTTGTGGCCTGATGACTGGCCACCTGCTCCACCCTTCTGTTCCCTCAGTGAGAGGGAGTTCTCAAGAATGTGTGGGATATAACCCTGCACACTGACCTTTGCAATTCCTGTGCCTTTCAGAGTTCAGGGATGTTGATCAGTTCTGTTGTTTCTGTTTCTTCTCCTTCAGGACCATGCAAAAAATTCCCACCTCCCCATAATTTGGGGGGGACTAGTTTCCCAGACTCCTTTCTCTTTGGAAGTGTCTTCCCAAGCACTTTAGCTCTAAGGAATAGTGGAGCAACCAGAAAGAGAGTATTATTTGGGGGAACACAAACCTTGTCTCCCCTCTCCCTGCCCTAATTCCTTCTCTCTCTCCTTCTCACTCACTCTCTCTTTCTTCTATTCCCCTTTCCTCATCTTTCCACAATTTTTTTTTTACCAAGAGCCTACTATGTGCCTGACAGTATTCTGGGCCCTAGAGATACAGCAGTGAACAAAACAAAGACTCTGCCACCATGAAACTCACATTCTAGTGGGGGAGATTGATAACAAACAAGTAAAGATAGAATATGTATGTGTTAGATGGTAATATAAGTAAGATAAAACAGGGCAGGGGATAGCAGTTGCAGGGCGCTGTGGGATTCTGTATCATAAGGTCTACGGAGGTGATGAGGGAATGAAGACCAAGAATTGACTCTTGAATTTGGGAACACAGAGATCACCGGTGACTTTGACAGGAACTATTGTGATGGGATGATGTAGATAAAAGTCTGGTTAAAATGGATTCAAGAGAAAATGAGTATACTGATCTTCAGAGAATACATCCCAATCTCAAAATCTCAGCAGTGGTTTTGGAAAAAATGAATTAATTGATTTTAAAAATTTATATGGAAATGCAAGTATAGCCAAAACAATCTTGAAAAAGAATAACAAAGTTAGGGGGCTTACAAGTCATGTGATTTCAAGTCTTATTTTTGAGATGCAGGAATTAAGAATGTCTGGTATTGGCTGAAGGATAGACAAATAGAACAGAGTGGAGAGTCCAGAAAATAGTTAGCCAATTTTTGACAGAGACGCTGAGATAATTCAGTGGAGAAAGGAAATTCTGTTCAACAAACAGAGCTGGAATAACTGGATATTTATGTAGAAAAAGTGAACCTCAACACCCTAACTCACACTATACACAAAAATCAATGTGAGATGAGTTGTAGATCCAAATGTAAAAGCTAAAATTGTACTTAAGCAAAATTAATATATATATATTTGCTCATCAAAAAACACTGTTAATAATGTTAGCAAAAATAGTGGAGGAGGGAATTCCAAAAATCCGTCCCACCACAAAAGCAATGAATAAACTGATAAGTACTGTCAGAATCAATTTTATCAGAACCTGGAAACAAATCAAGGGTTTATAGCAAGCAAGTGAACATTTAATCAAGATAAAGATCCTTGAGTCTCAGTGAGAGAGTGTGGCATTTCAATTTACTCTGCACCATTTCCTGCTACCAGCTAGGCAGTGGCCTTTAAGACAGCAGCCCACATTTAGAGTATAGGCTCCTAGTACTGGAGGGAGAAAAAAGGACCTTATACTCAAAGAATTGTGGTTTTTTCCTTTAATCTATCTGCTGGCTCCCTAAACAACTAAGTTTAAGGGGATTGCTTTTATTTCACCTAACCCAGAACTGTCTCAGGGATTAGGAACCTACCTGGAGGGCATTTTTCATCAACATTTAAGGGTAAATGCATTTGCTGGGGGCACCTGGGTGGGTTCAGTTGGTTAAGCGTCCAACTCTTGATTTCAGCTCAGGTTATAATCTCAGGGTGGTGAGACTGAGCCCTGTGTCCAGTTCTGCACTGGGCATGGAGCCTGCTTAAGATTCTCTCTCTCCCTCTCCCTCTGTCCCTCCCCACCCCTGCTCACATGCACACATGAGTGCATGCTCTCTCTAAAAAAAAAAAAAAAAAAAGTAAATGTATTTGTTGCTGCCACCAGAGGCAAGGGATAACAGTTAGAATAAACAATAGACAACACTTAGGAAGAAAAGCTGGGCAATGGAATGCTCTGGGAATAAAGGTTTGAGAAGCTCCCTCATGTTCCTGGGAAATTAGAAGGCCTTGTGCATGTCCAGAGTGGGGAGAATGCTCAGAAAAGGCCTGGGATGGCCCTAAGCTGTTGTATCTGGTTGACCTGAAGGCTATTCTCTTACAGAAAGTGGAAGCTAAGTAAGAGTTGTAAACTGTCTAGCTGAGTGTTGAGGGTGTGCTTCAACACACACAATGCCCATCTTCAAAGACTGGGAGATTTTGTTTGTTTGTTTTAGGCATTTATGAAAATCTCAGCTGACTCATAAAATGATTAGTTGACCACGAAGATAACAGGAGAAAAAAGACTTTGGTGGTCACACATGACGAAGAACAGTCAAAATTAGTACAGAAACATTTCTAAACAAGCTAACAACAGCAACCACAACAAGCAGTAACAGTAAACCATGGCAAAGGGGTAGAATCTGATGTTCAGAGTTGCCACGTTATAATATTCAAAATCTCCAGTGTCCAACAAGTCATGCAAAGAGATGGGAAAGTATGGCCCACAGACAGGAAAAAAGGAAATTAATAGAAACTGTCCCTGAAGAACCCCAGACATTGGATTTACTAACCACTTTAAGCCAACTATTAAATATACTCAAACAGCTATAAAGGAAACCACATATAAAAAATTAAAGGAAACCATGAAAATGATGTTTCGCCACATAGAGAAGCAATAAAGAGAGAATTTATAAAATTATAACAAGTAACAAGGTCCAAATAGACATCTGGCATTGTGAAATACAGCAACTGGAATGGAAAATTCATTAGAGAGACTCAATGCAGATTTGATCACGGAGAAGAAAGAAACAGAGAACTCGAACATAAATCCATTGAGATTACCCAGTGTGAGGATCAGAAAGATAAAGGAATGAGGAAAAATGAACAGAGCCCAGGAGACCTGTGGAACACCATGAAACATCCCAACATATGCAAGATAGGACTTCCAGAAGGAGAGGAAAGAGAAAAGAGGTAAAAATAATATTTAAAGAAATTATGATCAAAATGTCTCAAATTTGATGGAATTTGAATCCCAAGTAGGAAAAACTCAGAAATCCACATAGAGATATAATCAATCAAACACCAAAACCAGAGAAATTCCTGAAAGCAGTTAAGGTGAATAGACTAATCATGTACAAAGTAGTTTCAATAAGATTAACAGCTGATTTCTCAACAGAAACCACAGAGGCCAGAGGCAATAGAATAACTTATTCAAAGTGCAGAAAGAAAAAAAAGCCTGCCAACCAAGAGTTCCATATCTGTCAAAACTATCTTCAAAAATGAAGGGGTAATCAAGACATTACCAGATAAACAAAAATTGAGAGATTTTGTCACTAGTAAACCTGCCTGAAAAATGCTAAAGGGAGTCCTTAACACTGAAACAAAAGGACACTAGACAGAATCTCAAATCCACAAGAAGAAAAAAGAACACTACTAATGGTACTTACATTACTTATGTTTACTTATAGAAGTCAGTATTGTCTAATGTCTAATGTCTCCTTGTTTTCCTATATGATTTAAAGACAACTGTACAAAATAATAATTATAAATCTATGTTTTCACATACAATGCATCAAGATCCAATCTGTGCCAATAACAATATAAAGGCACAGAGCTGTAAAGGGGGAAAGCTTTTGTATACTATTGAAACAAAGTTGGTATTAATTTGAAATAGATTATGATAAATTAGGATGTTAATTGTAACCCCAGGGCAACCACTTAGAAAATAACTAAAAATATGTATAGTAAAAGAAACAAGAGGGGATCAAAGTGGTACACTGGAAAATATTATGGTAATGGAAGACTTGAAGAATAGAAAAGTTATAAGACATATGGGAAACCATTAGTAAAATAGCAGAAGTAAGCCCTTCATAGTCAGTAATTATACTAAACGTAAGTGGATTCTCTCAAAAGGCAGACATTGCAGAATGAGTGGATTATAAAAACAGTCCAACTGTATGCTGTCTACAAGAGACTCACTTTATTTTCTTTTAGTGGTTTTTAAAAATTTTTTTAATTGTTAAATCACCATACATTACATCATTAGTTTTTGATGTAGTGTTCCATGATTCATTGTTTGTGCATAACACCCAGTGCTCCATGCAGAACGTGCCCTCTTTAATACCCATCAGCAGGCTAACCCATCCTCCCACCCCCCCTCCCCTCTAGAACCCTCAGTTTGTTTTTCAGGGTCCATTGTCTCTCATGGTTCGAAGAGACTCACATTAGAACTAAAGACACAAATAGGTTGAAAATGACAGTGGATTCTTAGATATAACAACAAAAGCATAATCAAAAAAGAAAAAAATCCAGATAAATTGGACTTCATTAAAATGAAAAATTAATGTGCATCGAAGGGCAATATAAAGAAAGTAAAAAAGACAACCTGCAGAGTGGGAGAAAATATTTGTAAATCATTTATATGATAGGGGTCTATTATTTGGAATATACAAAGGACCCTTAAAGCTCAGCAAAAAACCAAACAAGTCAATTCAAAAATGGGCAAAGGATTGAATGGACATCTCTCCAAAATAGATATACAAATGACTAATAAGCACATGAAAAGGTGATCAACATTATTAACCATCAGGGAAACGCAAATCAAAACCACAGTGACATACCACTTCATACCCACTAAAGTGGCTATAATTTAAAAACCAACAAACAAAACCCAGAAAATAACAGTGTTATTGAGAATGTGGAGAAACTGGAACTCTCATGTCCTGCTGGTGGGACTGGTAAATGATAAATGCAATGCAGAAAGTGGTTTGACTATTCCTCACAAAATTAAACATAAAATCACGGTATAACCCAACAATTCCACTCCTAGGGATAGACCCAAGATAATTGACTAGCAGCTGGTCAAGCAAAAATTGTACATGAATGTTCATAGCAGCCTTCTTTAGAGAGGCCAGAAAGTGGTAACAACCCAAAGATCTATCAGTTGATGAATGGATAAACAAAACGTGGTGTACACATAAGATGGGTTATCATTTGGCCATAGGAAGCAATGAAATCCTGACACCTGCTACAACGTGGTTGAACCATGAGAACATTATGCTAAGTGAAAGAAGCCAGACACAAAAGGCCACATGTGTGATTCCATTTATATGAAAAGTCCAGAATAGGCAAATCCACAGAGACAGAAAGCAGTTTCCAAAGGACAGGAGGGAAGGGCAAATGGGGAGTGACTGCATAATGGGTCCAGGATTTCTGTTTGGGGAGCTGAAAATGTTCTGGGCCTCAATAGTGGTGATGGTTGTACAACATTCTGAATGTACTAAAACCTACTGATTTACATACTTAGAAATGGTTCAAGTGGTGAATTTTATGTTATGTGTATTTTACCTAAAACAAAAAACAAAAAACCCAATGTTGCTACAGAAAGGAGAAGGCAAGCCACAGACTGGAAGAAAATATTCACAACATAATTATCTGACAAAAACTTCACATCCAGCATATGAGAACTCTTACAATTCAATAATGAAAAGACAAACGTTCCAATTACAAACGGATAAAAGGCTTGAAAGGACACTTCACAAAACAAGATATAGGAAAGCCTCTTTTGGCGCATGAAAAGTTACTCAACATTATTAGTCATCAGGGAAATGCAAAATAAACTCCAAATGAGGAAACCATGTATACCTACTAGAATGGCTAATACTGAAAACACACACCATACCCACAAGTACTGTGAAGGATGTGGAATATTCAGAAGTATCGTGGACTTCTGGAGGGAATGTAAAATGGTACAACCATTCTGGAAAACTGTCAGTTTCTTATAAAATTAAGTGCACACCTACCCTATTACTCAACCATTCTACTCTTAGGCATTCACTGAAGAGAAGTGAAAGCTTATGTCCTTCCTTACATATGGACATTAATAGCAGCTTTAATCATAATAGCACCAAACTAGAAGGAACCCAAAAGTCTATCATCAGATGAGTGGGTAAATATATTGTGGTATATTCATGCAATAGCATACTACTTGGTGATAAAAAGGAATCAATGACTGATACATGAAATAACATGGATGAATCTCAAAAACATTACACCCAGGAAAAGAAGCCAGACACACAAAAGTATATATATTGTGCTACTCCATTTATGCAGAGGTCAAGGACAGGCAAAATTAATCCGTGGTGACAATCAATAAACGGGTTGATTGTCTCCTGGTAGAGCGGCCACAAAGACACACAAGGGAATTTTCCAGGGTGATAGAAATGCTCTGTATACCTTGGCATGGTGGTTACAGGAATGTGTATACACTTGCAAAAACTCATCAAATCATGTCATTAAAATCTGCACTTTTTATTGTCCATAAATGACACTTTAATTAAGAGAGAGAGAGAGAGAATGAGGGAGCAGAGATAATGAGTATTGTAGGGTCTTGCTAGAAGGGATTTAGAGAGATAAGCCAGTAGCCAGAGGGGAAGCTGAGACCAAGAGTATGTATGTGTGTTTGTGTGTGTCTCTGTGTGTGTGCGCGCGCGCGTGTGTGTGTGTTAACGGGAGGCGTGTAAGCATGTTGGCTGCTAATGGCAGTGGTCCCGTAGAGAAACATTGATGGTGCAGGGAAAGGTGGGGGTGGGGAGGAATTACAAAGCAAAGACCTTTAGCAGAGGAGAAGGAATGTTGGAAGCAGGGAATAACTGTTCGGTTTGTCTCCGGACAGTTGAACCAGAATCAGTGGGAGGAAGTCACAGGGAGGTAGATCTTTGCTCAGTAGGAAAGGCTTATCTCAGCCTGCCCTGAGGGGTAGTGAGCTCTTGTCACCAGGGGTGCAGGGGCTGCTGTGGCAAGTACTAGCCTCCAATAAGGAAGAGGGAAGTTAGCAGAGTTCAAGTCACCTATTGTCTCTGAGCCGTCCCACCCACGGGTGTGGAGGACCTGCTGGGTGGGGATGCGGGGCCAGCCTCTGTTCCCCCACGCTTTGCCCTGGCCACAGGCCCTCTCCTATCTCTGTGCAGATGCTGGGGCACCTGTCTACTTCTACGAGTTTCAACACCGGCCCCAGTGCTTGAAGGACACAAGGCCGACTTTCGTCAAAGCCGATCACTCTGATGAAATCCGCTTTGTATTTGGAGGTGCCTTCCTGAAGGGCGACATTGTCATGTTCGGTAAGGAACAGGCTTTGGGGGCGGGGTGCTTCTGCTCTTGTGGGGACTCGAGCTTGGGATGAGCTGGGGAGAAGCCCCTCCCCCCACCCAACATGATGCCAGAGCCCTGGAGTACTGGTGGGTTAGAACTTAGTCTGTGGTTTACACACACAACCATTCCCTGGAAAACGCCCCCACTCTTATTTTTAGAAACCAAGATGAAAAGGAGTTGCCAGCATTGGCTTGATGAGTGTTTCTCTTTGTGCTAAAGCCGAAAGGGCTGGGCAGTTGGGGGCACTCAAGCGACCTAATTTCTTTTCTTAATTAAAACCACTTTCTTCCTTCTCTCTGACCACTGGTCTTACCCTCCCTGCCCTTTCCAGACCTGTCGATGAGGCTACCACCCAGTGCTTTAAAAGGCAAAAACAAACAAACAAACAAACCAAAAACCAAAAACCATGTTTTTCATAATTCCCGAAGTCCTCTGGACCCAGGTGGCCTAATGTAGATGCTTGTGAGCTGCTGCTAGTGAGGTTAGCTCATCCATTCCTGAATTTATGACCTGCGCAGGGCCTAAAATAAGCCAATCAGGTGAGGTTATCCACAGAAAAAAATTACAGCAACTACATACTACAGATATCACTAAAATATTTTGTTAAAGAAATTATACAATACAGGCTCTTGACCAGTTCATGCTGGCCTCTCGACGATGAGGACCGGGCCTCCGCATAAATACGTTTGTGCGCTGAGGTTTATTTGTTACGTCATTTATTCATTCCCATCCTTATAATGCAGATAATAACACAACTACCTCTTAACTACTAGGTTGTCATAAGGATTCAGTGAAAATTCTCACAAGGCACACAGTGAGTGCTTAATAAATGTCACTGTACTATTACTCAGCAGCCATCACCAAGCTCATACTGTGGGACGGGCACAGGACTGTCCACACGGGAAAAAATGAACCACATGTGTGTCAAAGTGTAAATTCCTTCATATCTAGGGGCGCCTGGGTGGCTCAGTTGGTTAAGCGACTGCCTTCGGCTCAGGTCATGATCCTGGAGTCCCAGGATCGAGTCCCACGTCGGGCTCCCTGCTCGGCGGGGAGTCTGCTTCTCCCTCTGACCCTCCTCCCTCTCATGTTCTCTGTCTCTCATTCTCTCTCTCGCAAATAAATAAAATCTTAAAAAATAAATAAATAAATAAATAAATTCCTTAATATCTAAAGAGCTCCTAAAACCAGTGGGGAAAGAACAACCCAGTGGAAAGCTGGCTAGCAGATACACATAGACAGTTTATGGAAAAGGAAACATGAGTGACTTTTAAGTATGAAAATCCACTTGACCTCACCCATAACAAGAAGATTGCACACTAACCTTGACTGAGGAAGACTTCTTCATCTATCAAGTTTGGGAGGAGCAATACATTTTACATAATGTATTTGAGCAGGTGTAGGGAGACAGACAACCTCATATATTAATGCAAAACTCTACCAAATTTAAAATGCAGATGGTCTTTGCCCAAGCAATGCAACATCTAGAATTTTTTTGTGCAATTATACTTGCACACAAGCAAAAGTATAGACACACGCTGAAGCATTGCTTTTACCAGCAATGATGAAAACGTGTAAAGATCGAAACCAATGTAAAGATCCACCAAGAGAGTACTGCATACATGAATTATATATTCACTTGTAATTGCATATGTACATATTTATGCATTATACATTTAGAGAACAATAAATGGCAATAAATGGTGGGTTTATAGGCGACAGTATGGAACTATCTCCTGGATACGATTTTAGTAAAAAGAAAAAGACGGAGAATATGTGTTCATATTATACTGAGTGTGTAAAAAGGTGTCCGCTTAACCCCTAGTACATGACTAGGCTGCCTTTGGAGGGCACTCAAAAAGCTGGTAGCTATGGTTGCCTCTGAGCCTGGGGACTGGGTGTCTGGAGAAAAGAGATGGGAGGGAAATTTATTGTCATTAGATACCCCTGCTGCATTTTGGATTTTGTACTTTGAGCAAGGATTACTTTCTCAAATAAAGAAATGCAATAATTAATTAATTGCATGAGGTGGGGAGTGGTGGAAAGAGACACAGAGAGAGGTGGTCTCTGTCCCCAGGGAGCTCGCAGCCTCATAGGAATGACTGGAAAAGCACTGGCTAGATGGGGAAGCTGCATGTTCAGCCTCCTCCAGCATTCGGAAGCCACGACTCCTTGGGCGAGTCCTGGCTGCTCTGGGCCTCAGTCTGTGCAGATGCAGAATGGATGCATTGATTGGTGGGCTGGTGAGGGGATCGGCGGGAAGGGAGATGTGAACGTGATTCAGCATACCCGAGTCACCTTGGCCTCCTGGTGAATCCGTGAGAGCTGGATTTTGTGATTGTCTTCCTTCAGAAGGAGCCACCGAGGAGGAGAAATTGCTGAGCAGGAAGATGATGAGATACTGGGCCAACTTTGCTCGGACCGGGTAAGTGAGCCGCGCCCACCACCCCCCCCCAGCCTCCCCCACATTCAGGGGTTGGAGGATGGAAATCTCACCCCCGTCTCTGCCCTCACTTCCAGGGACCCTAACGGGGAAGGCCTGCCTCTGTGGCCAGCCTACAGTCAGAGCGAGCAGTACCTGAAGCTGGATTTGAACATGAGCGTGGGACAGAAACTGAAGGAGCAGGAGGTGGAGTTTTGGTCAGATACCCTCCCCCTGATTATGTCTACTTCCACAGCCCTCCCTGGTCCTCCTTCCTTACTCTCCTTTTCTCTGTTCCTGCCTTTATTCTTCTCTGCTCCTTGAGAAATTGTGTGTGATTTTGGTTTTCCTTCTTCTGCAATTTCCCCCATGATCATTAGCTCCATTTTTGTGTTTAGCTACTTTGTGAAATCAGCTGCTTTTACTGATGTTTTATGGACGTGGGGAGGATCCCTAGGGGACTTCTTTTCTATATCAAACAATGCTGCTTGTCTTGGAATGCTACCAGATCTCTTCAATAAATCTGCAGGAGGGCCAGCCTATTGGTTGGCATCATAATGATCTTGTTACTAAGAGAAAACAAAATCAGAACGTGAAATATGTATGGGGAGCAGAATTTAATCCTGTGCTCAAAACTCTCCCCCAACCCCCAGCATCCAAGGTGAAGTGGATTTCCTATCAGAGGTGTGTATTACCTGAAATCTGAGTGCTCTAACTGCAATCCAGGCAGGTGTCAGCCACAAGCCAAGCATGGATGTCTTGAACCTCGATGGCTAGAACTGGGTCTTTCCTCCAGTGGGGGAGGAGGGGGTGGGGCGGCCAGAGAGCCTCCTTCTCAGCAATGGAAACCAGAGGTCCATCAAGGTCAGGAGCCAAGGAGTCAGACACCTGGTGGCAAAGTCAGGTCGGGTGGACACCGAGGAGAAAAAATGTTTGCCTGATGGGGCGGAGACTAATCTATGCTTCCATAAACCTACACTGGGTGCCTGATGTGTGCCAGACATATCCACACTGGGGCTACAGTGGTGAGCAAGACATGCCCTCCACCAGGGCTAAGCAAACACACAGTAAGCAAACATTCACACTAGTGAATAGCTGATGACATACATTGGATAAGATCACTCAGAGTAAGGTGTTGTATAAAAGTATAACAGGGGGATCTAATTTAGAGGCAAGTCTTGGGAGGTTCTCTCTGGAGAAAGGATGAATTAAAGTTAACCAGATGATAGGTAGGGAGAATGTTGCAGTACCATCATTCAAAGGATGCACTTTTACTTTTTTTTAAGATTTTATATATATTTTTGTTTGTTGAATTGAGAGAGAAAGAGCAGAGAGAGAGAGAGCAGAAGCAGGGGTGAGGGGCAGGGGGAGAGGGACAAACAGACTCCCCGCTAAGCAAGGAGCCCAGTGCTGGGCTCGATCCCAGGACCCTGAGATCATGACCTCAGCCAAAGACAGACGCTTAACTGACTGAGCCGCCCAGGCGCCCCGCACTTTTACTTTTTATATCACATTATAATTTAATATTTAATTTAATGTTTACATAATTATATGTTAATTTATAATTTATATTTAATATGTTAATATATTTAATATTGAATATAATTTGATATTTAATTTAATTCATATTGTAACTACATAATCCCTATTCTATCCATTTAATTTACCAGGGTAATTAGTTTTTCTTTGTGATTGCCTCAGGATTACATGTGAGGTGCATGGAGTAGGAGGGTTTCTGAAATGTCAATAATGTAGAGTTTCTCTGGGTCAGAGATCTCCAGCTCCTAGCCTCAGTTTGGCCCCCAGAAATGTTTTGTTTAGCCGATGTCAAAAAAGTTTGTCAGATGTCAAGTTTTGGAATTAGTTTCCAGTTAATATGAAATCAGGGGAGTTTCACTTTAAAAGCCATGTTTCCAGCCCCTTCAGAGAAAAAGAAGGAAAAGGAGAAGAGGAGGAGGAGGAGAGGGAAGAAGAAATCTGGCAATATTGGAGCTGTGTTCCAGCATGGTAACCAGGGCTTCTGACAGCCCATACATCACCTTTGTGCAAATTAGAAGGTATCCTTTCTTCAAACCCTCTACAGGCATCTTCCAGGAAATCATCATCATTGATAGATACTACATCTATGATGTGAACAGTACCTCCTCTGAAGTAGTGCTCTTGTGCAGTACACAACCTACACAACTGTTCTCAGTGACCTTGATGGAAAAACCTGCCGGAACTGAGTAGTGGCCACCCTTTACCAAGGCATAAGCTCTCCATTTTTTCACAGTCCTCACTATTCACAGGAAAGATTTGGTTTGTCTCCAGAGTTTTGTTGGATTTGATTTGATTTAGTGATTCAGGTCCAAGATTGTAAGGGAGAGGGGGGAAGGATTTTCTGTAAAAAAGGAAGTGGTTTAATTTGTCTTGTGCCTGATCCATTTCACTCATGCATATTACCCTTCCCCTGGAGATGTTTAGGTTTGGACCCCTGGCCTCTCATTTTATAGAAATCTATGGAGATGTGAAGGAATTCGCCCAGAATCATTCAGTGAATTAGCAGCAAGTCAAAACCAGGCTTCGAGTATCTTGTCTTTCCAGAGCAGGACTCTTTCTGCCATGCTCCCTGCCTCCCTCAGCATAGGGTCCAAATCCAATCCAAATTGGATTGTGTCTGACTTAGGTGGTTGTGGGCCAACAATGCTCAGGGCATTTTCTGGTTCTAGGAAGAGGAACCAAGCCACACACAAGCAAGCTGGAAATTCAGTTGCCTCTGCAGCTGCAGACGGCTAATTTCTACACTGATATTTGGCTAAACTAACAGCTAGAAAACACCACTCAACTCATTTTTTAAAATACTATCATATTAAATGACATTACACTTATTTATATACTGCACACAGTCCCGGCATCCTCAAATACGGTTCTAATTTTGGTAGGTGTCTTGCAAGAGGGAGCATATTTCCAACGCATCTAGATACAAGGCCCTCTTTCCTCCTTATTCCTGTCCACGTGCCATCAGATGTTGTATTGAGTTAAAGCTGAAATATAAATGCTACTTGGCATCCTGCTTTTTTTCATTTAATTCAGGGTTTTCTATCAGAGGTGTAAGTAGAGGAATCACCCAGAGGGCTTTTCCAAAATTCCACTGCCCAAGCTGCTCCCCAGTCCAGCCAAACCAGAAACTTCTTGGATGGGACCTGGAAACGTATGTTTTCAGTTTTTAGGCATTAGATGCGCACCCCCGATTACAAACTGCTGAGTATTCACAGTGTGGTATATGTATTCCAAGTCGGTAGAGGATCTTCAAAGAATCAGCTTTCATATCTGTCTGATGTGGATATGTCACCATCTCTAGCCAGTAGCCTGCTCCTGGGACATTTATGGATATAATTTGATGAGCAGCTTTGGGAATGAGTACTTTTACTTTTTAAAACTATTCCTGCCATCTGGATCTGCAGAAGATGGACCCAGTCACAGGCCGTGCCCTTTTTAAATTGCTCTTCTTTTTTTTTTTTTTAGTATTTTATTTATTCATTTGAGAGGGAGGGCGCACGGACGGAGAGGGAGAAGCAGGCTCCCTGCTGAGCAGGGAGCCCGATGCGAGGCTCAATCCCAGGACCCCCGGGATCATGACCTGAGCAGAAGGCAGACACTTAACTGACTGAGCCCCTCAGGTGGCCCTAAATTGCTCTTCTTATGTTCTACAAATTCACTTCCCCAAAGGATCCCTTCACTTCCTGCTCATCAGCAACACAGAAACATGCATTTTCCACTCACCTCTGCTTTCCCACCACTGTACAAACAAACTATTTCATTGCTTTCTTATTGTAAATTCAACAACTTCCTTTTTTACAGAAAATTTGCCCACCCCCCGCCCCCCTCCCCTTACAATCTTGGACCTGAGTCACTAAATCAAATCAAATCCAACAAAACCCTGGAGACAAACCAAATCTTTGCCTGTGAATTCCCTAATGTGCAGCAGAGGGCAGCATTAAGGGGAAAAAAACGCTCTCCTCCCCTCTGAGGCTCCTGAGATGGGGGTGGCGTGATATTGCACAACTTCGAAGGTAAAAAAAAAAAAAAAAAAAGGTTAAATTATAAACCAATACTATTTATCATCGTTCCTTTTCTCTGTAGCACTTGGAAAGGGGAAAATTCCAACCCACTACCTGAAAAGTCTGACTCCGATGACTACCTTCACAGGGAGAGCAGACTTTGGGGCCAGCAGGCTTGTTTCTTTCCTAATTTTTGTACTTTCCCACTGAGCTCCGAGGAGCCCACCTGAGATGGGCAGGAAAGGGTCCCTTCCCTCGCAGCTCCCTGTTCCAGCTCCTCTCCCCTCAAGGGCCCTTTAGATTCTGGACCTTCCTGGCCTACCCCAAAGCCCAACTCCCCACCTGTGGCCCTGGCTGCAGGTGCCAGGAGGGCAGAGGTGGGAGAGGGGATGTATCCTCGCATCATGTATCCACATAGTAAGTGGTTACAGATTTTTATCGCTCCTGTGTAGTCATTATTTGTGTGAATATGCCATAATCTATCCATTCTACTGGTGTTGGGCATTTGGAGAGTTTCCAGTTTCAGGTTATTATGAAAAGAGTTGGCATGAATATTTTAGAACATGTCTTTTAATGACTACATGCATGCATTTCTCTTGGATATTTACCTACGAGTGGCTTTGCTGGGTCACCAGGGTTGCATATGTCAACTTTAGTAGGGACTCCAAAAAGTTTTCCAAAGTGGTCGTGCAGACTTGCCCTCCTACCAGCAGAGTAAGGAAATTTCCAGGTCTTCCATATTGTTGTCGATACTTGGTATTTTTCTAAAGGATTCTTTCACTTTTCTCTTTATTCATTACTGTATGTTTCCTTGCTTAGTTTGCTATAATGCAACAATTGATTTACAAAATTGCATTCCTGTGGACCACTGATGGGCAGGGTTAGGTGACCAGGCATTGGCTTCATCAAGGATCACTGTGACCGCGCCATTTCCTTGAACCTCAGGGAACGTCTTCCTTTGGACATTCAAATCTCTGGACAGAAACCACACTATGTTGATGTTGCCAAGGCTTTTTTTTTTTTTTTTTTTTAATGGTAAGAATTACTTTCTTTTTTTTTTTTAAGATTTTATTTATTTATTTGACAGAGAGACACACAGCGAGAGAGGGAACACAAGCAGGGGGAGTGAGAGAGGGAGAAGGAGGCTTCCCGCGGAGCAGGGAGCCCGATGCGGGGCTCGATCCCAGGACTCTGGGATCATGACCTGAGCCGAAGGCGGACGTTTAATGACTGAGCCACTCAGGCACCTCAACCAAGGCTCTTTTTTTGTTTTGTTTTGTTTTATTATCTTATGTTAATCACCATACATTACATCATTAGTTTTTGATGTAGTGTTCCATGATTCATTGTTTGTGCATAACACCCAGTGCTCCATGCAGAACATGCCCCCTTTAATACCCATCACCAGGCTAACCCATCCTCCCACCCCCCTCTCCTCTAGAACCCTCAGTCTGTTTCTCAGAGTCCATAGTCTCTCATGGTTCGTCTCCCCCTCCAATTAACCCCCCTTCATTCTTCCCCTCCTGCTATCTTCTTCTTCTTCTTTTTTTAACATATAATGTATTATTTGCTTCAGAGGTACAGATCTGTGATTCAACAGTCTTGCACACTTCACAGTGTTCACCATAGCACATACCCTCCCCAATGTCTATCACCCAGCCGCCCCATCCCTCCCACCCCCCACCACTCCAGCAACCCTCAGTTTGTTTACTGAGATTAAGAATTCCTCATATCAGTGAGGTCATATGATACGTGTCTTTCTCTGATTGACTTATTTCGCTCAGCATAATACCCTCCAGTTCCATCCACGTCGTTGCAAATGGCAAGATTTCATTCTTTTTGATGGCTGCATAATATTCCATTGTATATATATACCACATCTTCTTTATCCATTCATCTGTCGATGGATATCTTGGTTCTTTCCACAGTTTGGCTATTGTGGACATTGCTGCTATAAACATCAGGGTGCATGTACCCCTTCAGATCCCTGCATTTGTATCTTTGGGGTAAATACCCATTAGTGCAATTGCTGGATCGTATGGTAGTTCTATTTTCAACTTTTTGAGGAACCTCCATACTGTTTTCCAGAGTGGCTGCACCAGCTTGCATTCCCACCAACAGTGTAGGAGGGTTCCCCTTTCTCCACATCCCCACCAACAT